TATATATATATATATATATATATATATATATATATATATATATATATACTATATATATAATATGTATATATAAATATATATATATATATATATATATATATATATATATATATATATATATATATATATATATATATATATATATATATATATATATATATATATATATATATATATATATATATATATATATATATATATATATATATATATATATATATATATATATATATATATATGTATATGTATATATATATGTATATATATATATATGTATATATATATATATATATATATATATATATATATATATATATATATATATATACAGGCTTCGGCAGGAATGACGGGCTATAGCCCGTGTCCGTCTCCGCACCCGTCTAAGTCAGTTTAGACGGGCGAAATAAAGCCCGTCTGAAACATAAGTTTTGTGTAAAAAAAAAAAGATGAATATTTTGATGTTTTTTTATTAAGATACTCTTTTAAAACTTCTCTCATGACATAATTTTAATATGGATAGCAAACTCCAACTTATAATTGTTTATATTTAAATATAAAAATTAAACAATTTAATCATTATTGTATAACATGATGTAGAAAATAATATAACTAAATCTTACAGTTTTTTAAACGACGATAACTGTTTGATATAATACCAAACAGTTACCATATTATGTTCAAAATTTAATAACCATAATATTAAATAGGGAAATATACACATGTGATGCACAAGAAGTATCATGTTGTTTTGGTTTTTCAATGTTTATAATAATAACGATAATAAACTAATTATCCATGTATTTCGCTTTTTTCCGATAAACTAGTTTGTCTTACTTTAAAGACATTTAAAGTGATATTTCCGCGTTAACTTCCGCGTTAACTTCACGTTTTTTCTTAAAGAGACGGCAGTTTATTTAAAATGCAATTATATAACTCGTTATTAAAAATGAAATATCTCATTAAAAATCAACAAACGTCTAATCAATTTTTGTAGATAATATAAATAGTGTTGCTTTATAGTTATGAAGTTATTCAAGTTATCCAGTCATTCAAGTTTTTCAAGTTATTCAAGTTTTTCAGTAAAGATAGTAATGGAATCATCTGGTAGAAGAGTTACATTAGCAACATTTTTGAGTTGGGGTAAAGATGGAGTCTGTGGAAAAGAAACTGAGGTGGAGAATGAAACAATTTTTGTTGTGAAGATATGGTGTATGGTTTGTATAAAATATAAAAAAGAATTGCTTCGCGAGTTAAAAGGTCTGGCAAAATCAAAAGCATTAGCATTTATAGAGGGCACGACGAACGTTAAAGCTAGCAACATACATACGCTTATATACATGCTTATATTGTATATAAAGTAACGGAAGCCCCGGTATCTTAAGAAATTATTAGTACTTCTAAATAAAAACTTATTTTATTAAAAGAAATTAGATTTCAAATTTTTTATTCACGTATCAGAATAACTATTTCCGATCAGGATAGGCATAGGTAAAGCAAAGTTATAAAAATATAAATAAAAGTTTAAGTTTTTAATTTGCACGCCCAATAGAATGCAAGAGTATATAAATAATTGAATTTGAAAAATAACATGGTTACGTATCATATTACCAAGCTAATACCAAACAATTCTAAAACTATCGAGCTCATTGATTCAAGGTTAAAAAAAAAAGATTTCAAACTATTTGCTGAATAATTAAAAAAATTAGATTTTGAAAATATTATGTAATATTTTTATTCACAAAGAATAAGAGAAACGAATGAACTAAAAAAGCACGATAAAAACCTGTATAATTTAATCGAATACTTGAATAAAACAATAATATATAAATATACTCAAAAAGACTTCGGTAAAAAAACTCTTTAGGATGCTTGAATAAGGAAACGTGATGAAACGCCATGGTTGTTTCGAGGATTTTTCCCGTTGTTTTCACGTTCATTCGTTTGACTATATCTGCCAGATATTATCTGGAGTAAAGATTAAAAAAAAAAACATAAAAAACTGAATAAAGTTCCTTCGAGTAAGAAATCTAAACAAAAGCAACCATAAAACAACTAACCCACGTGAAACGAAATTAGATCTGTGCAAGTGAAAACTTTAAAAAACAATTATTGAAATCTTAGTTTTAAGTATTATCCAACTCATTTACTGCAGTGTTTTAATTACTTAAGTAATTAAGCATTTTAAACAGTTAATCGCTTTCTAACATATTATTTTAGTGCAATTCACAAAATGTTTAATATTCAATGACATTTTCATTCAAAAAGAAGAAGAGAAATTAACAAATTTAAAAAAAAAAAAGTTGAAACTTTAGAATTTTTTTTAAAGTTTAAAAAAGCCCGTGCAAGACCATCTAGACGGGCGGCCCTCATAGCCCGCCAAGTCTATTTAAGACGGGCTTTTCATAGCCCGTACGGTTTTTATTCCTGCCGAAGCCTGTATATATATATATATATATGTATATGTATATGTATATATATATGTATATATATATATATATATATATATATATATATATATATATATATATATATATATATATATATATATATATATATATATATATATATATATATATATATATATATATATATATATATATATATATATATGTATATGTATATGTATATATATATGTATATATATATATATATATATATATATATATATATATATATATATATATATATATATATATATATATATATATATATATATATATATATATATATATATATATATATATATATATATTATGGGTTTGTTATCGTTTGATTATTTGTTTTATTGTTTAAATTTTTAGGTTAAGTTTACTTTATTAAGACCTAAATTCATATTTTGTTATGCATTGAAATTAGATGGTTATCTACTTTTTTTAGGCATATGTCATATAATACCTTAGCATATCTCATATGATATGAGGTTGATAATATAGTCCTTTTGGATAATATAGTGCTTTTTGATTGATAATATAGTACTTTTTTGGGACACTTAACATTTTTTTTTTTTAAAGATTTAACATTTTTTGGGTAATGTGCTAAATAAAATAATAAACATAAATTTTTCTTAGTGCTTCTAATATATTTATCTGTATATATTTAAAATAATAATTTTTTTATTGTTTATTATTATTTTTTTTCTTTTTTTTAATTTGCATTCACTCCCAACAAGGCTCCAAGCAACCACTATTAAGTTGTGAGTTACAAGGAAAAAAAAGAACAGAGTTATAGAGCAAGGAAATGGTTGACAGAAGACTTAAAAAGTTGAAGGTTGTATGCGTCAGGAAAACATGAAGATGGGAGAGAGTTCCAAAGGATTGAAGTTCGGGGAAAAAAACTAGATGAATAAAAGTTTTTAGAGCATGCAGGGACAGATAATGTAAACAAATGAGACTTAGCTGAATGACGAGTAAAACGAAAATGAATTTTAGTTGATGGAACTTGAGATGATAACTCCTTTGAGCAGTGACCATGATAGTATTTGTAGAAAAGAGAAAGAGATGCAGCTTTACGACGATGGGAAAGAGGTTCAATCTTAGCAGATCGTCCAGGTCCAACAACATTTACAATGCGTTTTTGGACCTTGTCAAGAAGAGAAAGTGAATCTTTAGAAGAACCAGCCCAAATATGACAACAGTATTCCATACAGGGACGAATAAGAGATTTGTAGAGGTAGAGAGTGGAATCAGAAGTAAGAAAATGGCGAGCACGATAAATATTGCATTGCATTATAAGAAGTGATGCTTTATGAACTTATCATTTCATGTTAAACTTTGTTATTATATAGTTGACAGTATGCTGATAAAATTCTTTTTTTGTATATTAATAATTCTTTTACAACTTTGTGCCCATGAGCTTTATTTATTGTTACTAATTGTATATTTATATTTTGAAATAACTGATTATGAGAACTTTTAAAAATTTTGAAAGTTAAATTTATTAAAACTTTTTAGAATTATTTGGGAACTACTTAATAGTAATAATTCTTACCTTAATTAATATTAAGGTAAGTATTATGGCAGTTTTTTTATGTATTTTGGTATTTAAATTTTTACGAAAAGCAAATTAAGTTAATTTTGCAACATTCTTCAATGCTTTTGTAAAAGTCTGAGATATGTCAATGTCATTTTTTTTCTCTAGGTTTTCTATGTTTATAGTTACAATTTCAATTGCAAAGACGGTTGTGTGATGGCAATAATAAACTTTTATCAGAAAAAAATTAACATAAGTTAGTATTAAACAAATTTGTTGAAAAGGTAAAAATCATATATTTTTTTAATAATATTTATTTATAATGTTATAGCTGAGCCCATATCTCTATCTTTTTAAATAGATATCTGTCAAAGGCTAATCTACTGATTTGTGACATTTTCTGTATTTCTTTTTGTTATGGCTTTACCTGACTTTTTGCTATCTATTATTTTTTTCAAATAAAAATGTTAAAGATAATATTCACTTTTTTTTTCTATGCCTATGCGTTATGTAATATAATATTGAATATATGTTTTATATATAAATATATATAAATGACATGTATCAATTTCTCCAAAAATGTTTATTTATATAATATAATTAACTTTTCTAAACAAATAGACAATTAGTTAAAATAGATATAAAATACTGTTTACAAAAATATAATTAGTAGAAATTATAATAAAATATTTATAAAAGTAATATTATGATATAAAGTTTTGCATAAACTGTTCATATTATGATATCAGGCTTTGATTCATCTCATAAATGAGTGATTTCATTTTGATATCAATGAGTGATTTCATTTTGATATCATTAATATTATAAAGTTCTCATACTATAATATCATATTTATCATAGTTTGATATCATTATGATATCAATATGATATCAAATTCCTGACCATAATATTATTTATTCTGCAAAATTGTTTAATTGCGACAAAATAATTGCATATTGCAAAAATAAAATTTATTTAAATAACAACATATTTCATTTCTTTTTGTATTTCAATGCATTCTTTTTGTTTTATTCTATAGTTTATTAGTGCATATTTTTACTGATTTTATTTGATTTAAAGTAAAATTTATTATTGCAAAAAAAATGTTCAGACCTAGATCTTTGACAGTTTTTAAATATTAATGTTAATATATACATTACATTAGCATCAATCTAAGACCATTAACTTAATCATGGAATAAGTAATATTATATATAATGAAAATTTGTCACTTATTTTTATTAGATCATAATTATAAAATGAGAGAGAGAAACAGAATGAGTAAGAGAGTGTGAGAGAGAGAAAGATGTATGAATGCATGTGTGTATGTATAAAATCATGTGCTTACCGTGACTTAAGTATATTAAAAATATATATTTTGAAATATAAACTTTGACTTAATACAGCAAATAAGGTGTGGTTGTACCATCATGGACCTGATAGTACCACCTTGATGGTTTAGACCTACTGTACATCAAGCGTTGTAAAGTCTCTTACACTACAATAAGTGGCGTAAGTAAATAATGTTCAATAAACTTAATTCAACTATTTACTTGTTTTTTACAAATAATCTATAAAGTTACGATTAAATAAAGTTGAAAAGTTAAATTTAATTATAAAATTAGTAACATTATAGCAATATTTAGTTTCTTCCCACAAATTTTAAGTTTTCTTTACAGAATTTTTTTCATAAAGAAAATGGACTGATATGGACATGGTTTTGGAACTCATACTGGTAACTTAATGATATACCAATAGAAGTTACATGCTAGAATGTTCTTCTGGTTCCTAAATGTTTCCTATTTTTGACTTTACTGTTCCATTGTTTTGTCGTAATAGTTCCTATATAAGCAAGCTATTTAAGTTGGTTTTAAAGCTAGTCAAGCTGCTTGGTAAATTAACTTTAATGATGCATATAAAAGACTTTTCCAAAAGTAGTTGGCATGATGTAATCCATGAAATATGTTTAAAGCTAATCTTGCTAAAAGATGATTTAAACAACACAAGACCAGGGAATAGCGCAATATCATTTGCAGTAGTTATTTACATGAAACAATGAGACAATATACTAATTTAGTTATAAAACGTCTTATGTTTTTAACAATTATTGCTAATAAAATCAAAGTTGTATTTATGTTTAACTATATATTTGTATATATATATATATATATATATATATATATATATATATATATATATATATATATATATATATATATATGTATGTATATATATAAACATATATATATATATATAAATATATATATATATATATATATATATATATTTATATATATATATATATATATAAATATATATATATATATATATATATATATATATATATATATATATATATATATATATATATATATATATATATATATATATATATATATATATATATATATATATATATATATATATATATATATATATACAGGCCTAGCGATGAATAAAAACTGCGCGACGCATAAGCACGACGTGATTTTTGATATCATTAAATTCTTTTTATTTGCTTCTCATATTTATCAACATTAACTGCACCAATTTACTTAATTACCGCATAACTACTTTAAATCATTAATGTAGAATTGTTATTATTTAAAAATGTTTTGGAATGTTTCGTTTTTTAAAATGTACAAACATTTGTTTATTTTCTTGACGTTTGACTAGTTTTGTCTATACTAAACGATTGAAAAACATTGTAACTAAACATTTAAAAAAGATTAAAAAATATGCTTATATTTGATTTTTTTTTTTCTCAAATACGTAATTTAAAGTTTTTCAAATAATTATTTTTTCTTTTTAAAAAGTCATTGAGTAATAAACTGGAAATTTTAATATTGTACGATTAAAAACTGTGCAATAGCTAATATTTTTACCAGCGATTTTATATAATATTTATTTATTTATTTTTTATTTTTTTATTTTCATAAAGCGGTTGATAGGCCCAATCACTCGTATTTCTAAAAAACTTTAACGAATGTTTTAAATAGATTTTTAATGTTTAAAAGGAATTTTATTTCTAGTAAAATAAAATAAAATAAAATGTTACAATTGACCACGCTTCTTGAGCACGCTTCGTTGAGTTTCGGTAACTTTTAACAAAAAAGCGATTTTTATTATTTAAATAATTTTTTTTGAGTTACTTTCTACAAAAATTTTAATAACTTTACTTTTTTATTGAATCAAGTAGAATAAGTTTTAATATTAATCCCTTTATTTTTATTTTTATTTGCGCTTACCAATTTTTAAAATGTTTCCTCAAAATTACTCTTAAATACTTTAAATACGTCTAACAGTTAATAAATATTTTTATATCTACGGAATAATTTTAAAACCTAACAAACCCCCGTAAAATAATTATTTAAGTTAAAAATCTAAAACTAAAAGAAAGTATTTTTGTTCAATTTTATCGACAACTTTGCTATTGCTGAATAGTTTTATTAAAATGTTAGCTTAAAAAGATTTAAACGTTTTTTTTAATCTAAATTTTTTCTACTTGTAAATAATGAGCATATTTAATTTTTTTGCAATTCAAACTTTTATATCAGCTGCGTGCGGTTTTAAAATACTTTATTTAATGTTTAAATAATCGTAAATTACTTCATTAAAATTCCGCTCAAAAATATCTTAAAATATTCTCAAACAAAAAATTGATAAAAAAGGAGTTTTTAAATCTAATGGAATAGTTTAAATAAGTTATCCTTGAGTGTAAATAAAACTAAATAAACTTTTTTCATAGCCTTTATAATTAAGAAAACATTCTATTAAAACTCTTCTATCTTTATAGTGGCAACTTTACCATAAGAAGAGAGCTATTTGTTGTATCGTTAATAAAACACTGTACTATACTTAAATATATATATTCTTATAAGTAAGCCATCTTTAATATACATTTTTAATATAGCCACGTATCTATATCATATATATAAACATTGTTCCTATTTGTCCGCATATGACTAAGGTTCGTGGCTTCACATCCCTGAAATTTATTGGCTTCTGCCCCTTTGTCGACCGTGTACTTCTTCAATCCTGGTTAGGTTCTTCTTTAGTAACGCGTAGTTCGGGCATATCAGATTTATCACTATTGCATGGATCGATTTTCTCATTAATATGATCATACCGCATACTGTCTTCATTATTCATTAGTATACTAGGCTCATTTAGGCGTTTGTTTATTTGGTCACAGTGTGCTAACGTACCCGAAGAGTTATTCCTTAATATGATCGCAGTGTTTAGACCTGCCTGAGAGATGAATGAAGCAAGTTCAGGTTTGGAATCTGGTCTTTGGCGGTACCATAACGGTGTTTGATTTTCGAAACTCATGGTGAGAGGGGATCTCAACTGCCTTCCCATCATCTCGGAAGGACTCCTTGATCTTCCATCATGAGGTATTGTTCTGTAACTTAAAAGCATTCTGTTTAAATATCCACTTAATAAACCTTTGTCCAGTGATTAAGCTCTTAAACCCATCTTGACTGTCTCTACCATTCTTTCAGCTGCTCCATTAGATTGAGGGTGGTAAGGTGGAGTCTTATAAGGCACGCAACCCATTTTCTTTAACCACTGGTGTAAGGTGGTATCATGAAATTCCGCAGCATTGTCGGATACTAAAACCTCTGGAACTCCATTTCTTGAAAAAACACTTTGTAGTACCGTCTTTACAGTGGTCGCTTCACGATTATTTACCTTAATAACTTCCGGCCATCCAGAAAAAGAATCTACTAAAATCAAAAACAGTCCGATACCCTGTACATGTGCATGATCCATATGTACTCTACACCAAGGTTTATTTTCACTTGGCCATGTATGTAATGTCCTTTCCTTCTTTACTTTTATTTCGGCACATTTTTCACAGTTTTTCACATATTCTTCAACATCTTGACAGTAGCCAGGCCACCAGGCTTCCAATTTTAATCTACATCGCGTTTGCATTATGCCACAATGTATATCATCATGGATCGATTCGATGATGATCTTTCTCATTGTCTTAGGAGGTACAATGAGGTCACCATTACACACAATTCCTTTTTCGATAGTCAGTTTATTCCTAATAGATTTATAAGGTCTTTCTGTTACCGAGCATCTGCTCCAATTATTTTTCCTAATTCTGGTTTTGATATCCATCACTACCCTATCATTTTCTGTTTCTTTTATTATTTGCTCAAGGTTCACTATATCTGACTCGACTAAGTGTATAAATGTTTCTTGGTCCTTCTCTTCATCTTGTGGTAGAAAGGACAATCTCGATAATGCAGCAGCATGAGGAATGTTTTCTCCCTTCTTGTAGCTTATTTTATAGTTAAATGCCATCATTTGTATGGCCCATCTTAAAATTCTAGCGGATGTGACTTTCGGCAATTCTTTGTTACTATCAAATATAAATTCTAATGGCCTGTGATCTGATATTAATTTGAATTTTCTACCTAACAGAAAATGCCTAGCTCTGTGAGCAGACCATACAATAGCTAACGCTTCTCTCTCAATATTAGAATATCTTGTCTCAACGTCTGATAAAGTTCGTGAGAGATACAATACTGGATGGCCATTCTGTGAAAGTATTCCAGATATAGCTTTCTCACTAGCATCTGTTGTTAACTCTAGATCTTAGTTGATGTCATAAACCTTTACTACGGGTCCTACACAAAGGTTTCTTTTTAGCAATTCAAATGCCTAATGATGCTCTTTCCTCCATTCGAATGTAACTGCTTTCTTTCTTAAATTGTTCAAAGGTAAAAATTTTTCTACATATTTATCAATGTGTCGACCATAAAAGTTTATTAATCCTATAAATGACTCAAGTTCCTTTTTATCATTAAGAGGACTTATTCCGAGTATTTTGCTGACTAAATTACAATCTGGGGTCACCCCTTTTCTGACAGTTCATATCCTAAAAATAAAAGACTTTTTGTTTCATTCACTGACTTTCATTTATTTATTTTCATTCCCGATTCCCTGTATTAGCTGGAACTCATACAGATTACCCACTGGGTAACCTGCATGAGTCCCAGCTACCTTGTTTTAGCATCCCATTTAAGAAATTTGTGGAGTTTTCAAATTTTTTTTTGTTGTTAAAATTACTTCTTCGAGCACCTATTGAGTGACAAAACGTTTTGTTTTAATGAGAGCTGTAAAAAAATGAATTCAAAATATAAAGTTGTAAAATAAAATACTTTCAAACATAGAAAGCTCAATTAAACTGTTAGTCTTGAAATTTTTAGCAGTAAATATGACTGATTAACATTTAGTGATCAACTTCAGCTTGAAATTGACGCTGATCAGCTCAGTCAGCCTACAACAGAGATTTATGCCAGTGTAAATTAAAAAAGTTAATTTCTAATTTTAAAAATATATATTTAATTAGTCTAAATAAAGTATAATAAGTGATACCTTATCATATGTGCGTCCAGTGATATCCAGTGATATCCCTAACAAAGTTGGGTGCCCAACAAAGATTTGTTAAATGAATTATTAATAAATATGAATATAATAATGTATATTTAAAATAGTTTACTAATACTAATCAGAGTATCTTCTTTAAAAAAAGTTATAAAAATAGTTTTTTTTGCAAGGTTCATATGCTCGTATGTATGTTGATTGAATCAACTGTAGATCAATGTTTATTTAACATTCTAATTTCAATTTTGATCTAACGTTAAGTTTCAAAAAATTTTGCTAAGTGATTTTCTACTAATTTGTAATTGCTCTGTTCTTTTAAGAACATTGAGCACTCTTTTTGTAGAATACATTTTAAATTGTTTAAATATATATATATATATATATATATATATATATATATATATATATATATATATATATATATATATATATATATATATATATATATATATATATATATATATATATAAATATTATACTACATATTATCATAAATATATTTTATTAACTATGTATATTTTATTTTTATGTATCATTTTGTCTGAATTTGTTGCTTATGTTATGTGTTTTAGTAAATTTTAAATTTTCATTTAGTTGTTGACTTTTAAATAAAAATACATTTATAACTCAATTAACTCATAATGAATAACAAATTGTATTGGATTATTATTTTGAATACTTTGGTTGCAGTGTGTTGCCTGGAATTAATAACAACATTTTCTTCTCTTGCTGTATCAGCTATCAGTTATCTTATGTCTGGTAAATGTGTAGTTAATTAATTTTTAATTATCATTTTTTCAGTTATAAAATATATACCTTTAATTTTTTTACTAGTTCATTTTTAATTTATTTTTAATTGACACTTCTTTTTTTACTAGTTTGTTTTTCGATTTATTTTTAAAAGATTCTGCAGGTGTTAAGGCTTGCAACTTTTACTTTTCTCAATCTCCAACTTAAATAGTCAACTTTCCAACTCGCTTTCCAGACAACTCTAATAAATTACCTTCTCTACTTACCTTATGTCTTGTTTCTGATCCTAGTCAGTGCTCAGTTTCTCCACATTCACCCTTAGGTGGTTCTGATCACAGTTTGATTCCTTAAAAACTATTATCTCATTCTTCTTTATCATCAGAATTCCCCTATGATTGCACCTATTGAAGCTGACTGTGACTCTTTCTGTAATTTTTTTCTTGATGGCCTTTAGGTAGAAATCTTTCGACTTCCTGCTGACAAATGCGCTTCTTACATAACTTCTTGGATTCAGGCTGGCATGTAGTCTTTTACGTCCCTCTCAACGATTTTGGGTCAAGCCTTACTCTTTTTTATGGTTTTTCTTACATTGAGCTGCTGCAATTTTCAATTAAAACCGTTACTTCCATATCTGCCATCAAAACAATTCTTTAGAAAACAGACATCTGTTTACTATTGCTAGGAACCATTATTAAAAGGTTTTGTCTAACACCAAAGCCTGCTATTTCCAGGTCATGAACTCTTGTATTTAATCTCAAAAGTTAGGGTCTCGTAACTTTTGGAGAACAGTAACAATATCAATATAACAGTATCAATATAAAGGGAAATTCTGTTACTCCACCTCTCTTGTATGGTTCAGATTTTGTCACCACACTTAAAGACAAAGCTGAATTGTTTGCTCAGAACTTTTCATCAATATCATCTCTTGATTCCACTAGATGAATTCTACCTTAAATAGCTGACAAACAGGTTGATAGATTGCTTGAAATTCATATTACTTTATCTTCTATATTTAAAGCAATTTCTTGCTTTGGCTCTTCTACAGCTTATGGTTTGAACAACATACCTGTTATAGTCTTGCTGAAGTGTTCTCTGGAGCTGTTGTTTATACTTTCAAAACTATTTAAAAAGTCCTTATCAGACTCTTGTTTTCCAGCAATCTGACTCGTCTTACTACAGTCCCATTAGTCTTCTTTCTATCATAAGCAAGGTTTTTGAATCTTTGTTTAACAAATACTTAATCTCTCATCTTAAATCTAATAACTTACATTCTGATCATCAATATGGATTTCGATCTTCTCATTCTACAGCTGATTTGCTAATAGTAATAACCGATAGGTTTTATTGTGCATTAGATAGAGGGAAAGGTTAAGGCTATGGCTGTTAAAATTTCTAAAGCTTTTGATAACGTTTAACATGCTGGTCTTCTCCATAAGCTTTCTTCTTACAGTGTATTAAGTAACATTTCTATGATTATTGAGTCCTTTCTTTCCAATTGTAGTATAAATGTTGCCCTCGATGGACAGCACTTCTTTTCATATCCTGTAACTTCAGGGGTTCCTCAGAGTTCTATCCTTAACCCCATACTCTTTTTAATTTACATTAAAAATGTTCTGATGATACTACCATTAATTCTTGTCTTGATAAGAAGCCAACTCTCTCTGATTGCTTTGATAAGGCATTTGAGCTTGAAAAAGATCTCACTTCTGCTACAACATGGGACTCACAATAACTGGTGAACTTTAATTCAGATAAAACTCAATTTTTTTAGCTTATCTTTGGCGCAATAATTTAGATCTTCCTATTTTAAAAAGGGTAATGTACTCGATGAGTCATCTACCCTTTATCTTCTAGGATTAACTCTTACTTATGATCTCTTTTGGAAACCATATTTCAAATCCATTGCAAAATTAGCAAAATTGCAAAATTGCTAAGGTTGCATATCTTTATTATTCTCTTTATTACTTCTTATATTCGTCATTTAATTTTCATTTCTTTTAAATTTAATTCATTTCAAATGTCATTTAATTCATTTCTTTTGTGTGACTGTTCATAAGTGCTCCAAAAATTCTTATTTGTCTAGTTTTTTTCCTTAAACATCAGTTCTTTTAAATTCACTTCTTTTATCTTGCTTTCTTGATTCGTATAATTTACAATTTTTGAAGTCATCTCTCAATTGTTAACTTGCTTTTTAAACTTCATCTTTTCTCTTTTAACTCTAATAGTGGTTGCTTGCAGCCTTGTTGGAAAGGAAGAGGTAAAAAAAAAAAAAAATTAAGATTGAAGTTGGAATACATAATACCAAAATTTTTTTGGTTTTTATGTTTTATTTTCTAAAAAAATGTTTTAACTAAATGGATAATACACAGCAAACAAATCAAGATACCAAGTTTATAAAAAAATTTAAATAATTGCTGTTAAGATGAACTTTTTTAAAGTTAAATAATTATTAAATAGCAAAAAAAAATTTGTTCTAGTTGTTGCTATTTTAATATGAATCAGGTTATTATACTTCGACCTATTTAAATCCATTGCAAATTTAGCAAAATTGCAAAATTGCTAAGGTTGCATATCTTTATTATTCTCTGCAAGACACCTATTCAGGTTTTACAAATTATTAGTTATTAGTATTATTTAGAAAGGTAAAGTTTGAACTTTCAGACTTCTAAGTATACTGGTTTAGAAATTATAGTCTTATATAAATATGATAAAGTGACCGCCTTCAATTTGCAAACAGTCAAAATAGAATACTTTTGAGCTTTTTTCTTACTTTCCACAATAGTCTATTTTTTAATAAAACTATTTACTGGATAGTGAAAAACAATTTATGTGATGGTGGAAAACTATTTACGTGATAGTGGAAAACTATTTATGTGCTAGTGGAAAAAAGTGGTTTTTATTAATTTGAATTTTACTGGAGAAAAATTATAATCTTAAAAAATGTCTAAAAATTGCTAAAATCTTCGCTATTAAAAAATTCGCTGTAGCATTTTTCTTTTCATCCACAAGTCTTTACTGGTAAGTTTTCTGATTAACTACTACTGTCTGCAATAATTTAGCTTGCTGAAGTTTAAAACTCGAATGTCTCAGAAATCTGCCCGTCTGCCTAAAAAGTATAATTTTCAGCCATTTTGAGATGCTTTTAAATTTTTTCAATACTTTGTTTTTATCTTATACAGAACAGGATATAAGACCATTAGATCCAACTATCTAAAAATGTAAATATAAACTTTTCATGTTTACATAAAATTGCCAACATTTTTAAGTAACCCTACTTTTCAATTATCAATGTTTGAATGCATTATTGGAAACCAATGCCCATGTTAGGGATGCAACCAACTATTTTAACATTTCTTAACAAAAAGAAAGATATGGTTGGTTGCCTCCTCCTTTATCTGGTCTTTATAGTGGATAGATGTACAAATAAAGGAGCAGTAACTATTTAGAGACCTTCAATATTGTTCAAATTATTATTACATGTTACACATAAAAATATTTGCAGTAATGTTTTTTATCTTAATTTTTATTGTTATTTGATATTTAGTAAAAATATATATAAATTTAATTTTATTACTTAGTTAAGTAATTTTACATAGTCTAATTGTTAACAATACTTGAAATAACTGATAAAACTTTTTCAATATGATAACCTCACTAGATTTAGGAAAGCCTTTGCATGCAAAAGTGTCTTGTGTGCATATATATATATATATATATATATATATATATATATATATATATATATATATATATATATATATATATATATATATATATATATATATATATATATATATATATATATATATATATATATATACACCCTCATGCATAATATAACCCAAATTTCGGGCTACACATTAACACTCATTTACAAAAATTTTACCACCTTTTCCAAGTAAATATGGCAAATGAAAAAACCTCAAAATAATGTCAAACTTAATCTGTTTAATAATTAGAATAGTTAAAATAATAGAAAAAATAGTCATTACAAAAAAATGCATACTTTGCCTTCAAGAGAAACTTCTAATAATTTCACACCAAAGTTCCCAAAAATTCTTAATCAAAAAAACAGAAATAAGTGTTGTTAAGAAAGTTTTTCTTTTACAACAATGAGCCAAATGATTAAAAGATTAAACCAATCTTGCAAACATTAACAGCTATATAGTTGTTTTTGTATGTCACATTTTATCTCATTAAAAAAAAGGTATAGGGTAGAGCAGGGCATATAGGGACACTTAAGAAACAAATGCAAGTTGCTGATAAACTAATCAAAGTTAACACAGTTTTTATAAATTTCCTAAAATTCATTGATATAAGTAAATAAAGAAACACAAAAAATTTCTACAACCAAAGTAAGGAAACTCTAGACTAGCAAATCTTTTACATTTTGCAAGTGGGTGGGGCAAAACGGGACATTTAAAAAGCAACAGTTATTCGTCAATTGTAAGGCTTGAAAAATGAAGGAAAATGAAGGCTATCTATCGTCTAAATATGTTCAGACATTAAACTCTCAAAAAGTTAACATACTTATAGAAAATACATGCCCATACACCCAGACATCACAAAAAAATATATATTATAAAAACTTTTTAAAACAACATTTTAAAAATGAACAAAAAAGTAAAAAATTAAAAATATATAAAAAAAACTTTAAAAAACATTTTTTTAAAAATGGATGAAAAAGTATAAAATAAACTATTTGATAGGACATAAGGACTTTGTGTCCATACACAACCTTAAATATCCATTAAAGTCAATGACTGAAAATGTTGGGTGCCAATAGGAATGAGTTGTGCTTTGTTGCGCAACATTTTCAGTCATTGACTTATATATCTCAGGTTGTATACGCTAACAAAGTCCTTGGGTCCTGTGAAACTTTTTTTTACTTTTTAGTCCATTTTTAAAACTTTGCTTTTAAAAATTTTTTTTTTATACATTTTTTACTTTTTGTCCATTTTAAAAATGTTGTTTTAAAAAGTTTTTATAATATATATTTTTTTGTGATGTCTGGGTGTATGGGCATGTATTTTCTATAAGTATGTTAACTTTTGAGTTTTTTATACATTTTTTTTATTATTCAACAGGGATTCTAATTATTGACCTTAAACTAAAACGCTAAAAGTTTGTTATTTATTGTTTGTTTTAATTACTTTTCTAAATGATTTCTTTTATTAATGTTTAACTAAAGTCTGTTTTGCGTTGTTTGTTTTAATTACTTTTTTAAATGATTTTTTTTATTATTACTGCTGACATTATTATACTGTGTTTGTTTTGCGTGGACATCAAAAAAATAAACAAACTGAAAAGAAAGCAAAGTTAAATAAAATGTTGCTAAAAAGAAATAACAGCGAAAAAATTTTTTTTTTTTAAGTTTTATTATAAAATACCTCGGCTCTACTCAGACCTATATATTATTAAATTGGTAACTACTACTAAATTTGAAATTAAACAAAAAATTTTATGGATCACATAAATCACACCAAAAATATCCTGAAACTATTTGGCAACATTGTTGATGAGCTGGCATATTAGCAATATGCCAATGTAGAACAAACTTAAATATAGCATATGTATTAGCAGCTTTTCTAGTTCTAAGTTCCTCTTTACTCATAGCTAAAATTGCATTTCATCCCTTTTTTGATGATTGATCTTTCTTATGTAATTTCTTACCTTTTTTGTTAACATTAAACACTATTAATAATTGGAATTAAGTTATAAAAAAAGAATTTCTTTGAATTTATTACTAAAAATGCTTTTCTAAATAAAAAACAATATTTTAGATAAAAAATAAAATCATCAAACTGCAAACAGCATCACAAAATGGAAGTAACATACTCAATTATATAAATAGCTTGTTGTCCCTATATGCCCCACTAAAGTCATTTTGCTGAAACTAATACTATTCAAAAGATCAATTCCAAATATTTTTTTTTAAAACTAGATTCTAAAAGAGAATAATAAATGCTGTCTAAAAAATATAAACTTTTTATAAATAAAGCTAATTTGCTATAGCTGAAGAAAAATCTTTTGTCGCTGTATCGCTTAAGAAAAAATGCAAATTTTCTTTTTCACAAACTTACTGATGCCTTTTGGTACTTTAAATGCATTTTGGTATTTTTAAAATGGATTTTTTTTTACAATAATAAATCACAATAATTTAAAATGTTTTATGAAAAATAATTTTTGGAAAAAATTTTTTATTTAGCTAAGATATAAGGCTTCAGGCATAACTGTCCCGTTATGCCGCTCATCTTGATATGCCCCGCTCTGCCCTCATAAAAAACAAAAAAATGTCCTCCATTTCTAAGATATTTTAAGACTTTCAAATTCTAATGGGGGTGGTGGTGGGGATGCATACCCTTTACCCCCCCGATACCCCCACTGATAAACTAATGATAAACATTCTTTAAGTGTGTGTGATATATAAATTATTTGGGCTCCTTAGCTTTAATTTTTAATTTTTGCTCGTTATCTTTGGGTAAAAAGTAAAAAAAAATTAATATATACTAGCCTCATCTAATTAGTCTATTTAAATAACTGGTTTTTAGTAAGGACTTTCACTTAACTCAGGTTTCATGTAGTTTAAGATTTTAAAAATCATTTAGGGTCCATGTTTTCAGGTCATAAAGAATGTATTTAATGTTGATTTTTTTTTTTAAGAAAACTTTATTCAAATGAGATATGTTCAAATGATTTGCAGTAATTTATTTTTTAGATTCCTGTAAGGATAATGAATGCTGCAATAATGAATGGTTGCAGACGCCGAGTCTTTCAGATTTGGAAAATGTGATAAGTTCTAAGGTTTTTGGCCAGCACCTAATCAATAAGCATGTTTCTACTGCGGTTATACATCATATTAAAACTAATAATCCGGCTTCACCTTTAGTGATGTCTTTTCATGGAGGAACTGGAACTGGTAAAAATTTTGTTTCACAAATAATTGCCGAGTCAATATTTAAAAAAGGTTTGAATAGTAAATTTGTTCGTGTAATACGCGCAACAAAGCATTTTCCAAATAAAAATAAGTTAGAAGAATACAAAAACGAATTATCTAGACTAATAGAGAACAGTGCTAAGCTATGTGAGCGCACATTATTCATCTTTGACGAATTTCATGAAATGCCGATTGGTCTTGGTGATTCAATTGCTCCTTTTTTAGACTACAACAATCAATTAGATGGTATAGATTATCGCAAAAATATATTTATTTTCCTAAGCAATACGACCGCGGACATTATTAATAGCTATACATTAAAGCATTATGAAAATAGAAATTCTAGAGAGTCATTAACCAATAAATATTTCGAATATTCTATAATCAAAAATGCTTTAAATTCATCAAGTGGATTTAATGACTCGAAACTTATTAAAAAAGCATTAATAAAGACTTATGTCGCCTTTCTACCTTTGGAGAGAAAACATGTCAAACAATGCGCAGAAGAGTTAATAAAAAAAGAAACTTTTGATATCAAAAATTCGACTTTAGAAGCCATTGCTGATGAAGTGTTTTATTTTCCTGAAAAAGAACAATGGTTTTCATTAAATGGTTGTAAAAGACTTGAAGCTAAAGTAGCCGATTTTTTAAGTAGATAACTACTTTACAAATAATAAAAGTTCTATTTATGAACATCTGAGTTTTTGATTATTTCTTTTTAATACTTTTATGCTTTAAATTTTATAATTTTTTTTTTTTTAAATCAAAAATTTTAACGAGATTCAAAAAAATAGCATTATTTAGAAAATATTTTTTTTTATTTTGATGAAAAATCTTTTATTCTAAAAGACTTTTAATAACTCAAAACCTTTTATAAAAAACTTTTTTTTTTATAGGGCGTGTGTTTTTCATTAATTTTCGTAAATTTTAAAGGTGGTCATATACTAATAAAAATTTTTAAAATGCAATTATTATTTATGATTGTTATTTAAGAAGTTATTTAAGTAGTATTTCATATTTGCTCCGCAAAGATTTTTTTTTTTCGGTCAAAATTTTGACTAAATATGGACTACGCGCTGCGATAAACCTGTAAACTAATAATGGTATGATCATGAAATTTTCCCATCATTTTAATATCAGATGATTCCACTCACCCTGCTAAAATCAAATAATTTAAGGTGGCTCATATAAAAAAACGTCATTTTTTCAAAATAATTTGATTTTTTTTTTAATATATCATTCAAACCAAATTTTATCATTTTTTTAGAAAATATATTTTTGCATAAAATGCTACTATTAATTTAGTTAAACATTTTTTATAAGTTTTTTTATGATTAAAAATTTTTAGCGGAAAAATTTCAAAATAATATTGAAAAAATTTTTTATTATGAAGTTATGTAATTTTATTTTAAAATATGAAATAAATATTTAAATAAAGTCTGTATATTGTGCAATATATGCAAGTAAATAAAACGGCTTTTGATTTCGTCATGTTTTGTGGAGTGTGCTGTAAAGCTTGATTTCGTCATGTTTTGTGGAGTGTGCTGTACAGCTTGATTCAAGTTTTAGTAGTTATTGATATTTGAAAATATTTTACTTGTATTTTTTATCAGATAATTGATAATGTCCAGTAAAAAACATTTGAGAAGAAAGAAAAAATTTAAAGGAAAATAATTAAAAAATTAAAAAAAATTAAAAAAGTTTAAAGGAAATCGGTTTATCGAATCAAGTAAGGTGACAACACGATTATTGAAACATAAACATTCAATTTGTGTAAAGTTTATAATATTGTAGCAAGTAATAGCATAGTAAAAGCAGTTGATAAGATTAATGTGGTACTTGGGTGAAAAACCCAAATTCTTTATTTCTATATACAGGTAACTAAGCTTTTAAAAAAAAAATTAGAGAAAACTTTTTTTGGGTGCAAAGGTCTCAAAATGGTCACTTTGCGGTGCGTTAAATTTAGAAAAAAACCACCTGTAGAATAATAGCAAAATTTTAACAGTTTGTTTAAAGTATAAATTTTAAATGGTATGGGAGCAGAATTAGAATGATTGCATAACTAGATCTAAGGTAAAAAAAATTTAAATACCTTGCTTATAAAAAGACTTAAAAATAAAATTTTGACCTTGGGTAACTCTGGACCAAAAAGTATTTTTCCAAAAAATGTTGGTTCTAAACTTGTATCTTATAAAAAGTAACCACCATATAAAATTTCAAGTGTAAAGCTCAAATCAATCAAAAGTTATGACGCACTGTCCAAAAATTTAAATTATAAGATAAATGCATTTTAAGTAAAAATATGCTAAAATATCACTAAATTTTTTCTATAGATTTAAAAAAAAGATTTCCATGATTAATCACCGTAAATAAAAAATAATAAAAATCTCTCTCTTAAACTATAACCATAATTCATTTTTTCTTCTAATTCATTAGTATTTATGAAACCTTTATGAACTCCTCGAATGCACTTTCTTTGTTGCTTAACAATATCAAGCAATTTCCTTTCCATCGACATAACTCTTCAGTTGTTATTTGAAACACAGATCTCACTTGTATAAAATTCTGGAATAATACCTAAGCCCTCTAAAAACCAGTTAAACCGTCATTAAAATTCATAACTTCAGACGCTACACATAGCTCAACATTTGTTTTTAAATTTAGATATCTTATTGACACCGTTTCCAAATCATTCCTTGTAGTGACTCATTTATATATTAATTATTTTGAGTTTTGCTATAAAGATACTATTTTAATAAATTGTCATCACTCAAACTTTAAAAAACAGGCTTGATTTCTTCAAGGATAATAATTGGTATTCCTCCCATATGTTTGTACGTTGCTGTGCCATTTATTTTGTCAGCTTGATATTTACACCAACTATCAGGAGTACGTGGTGGGCACATTTAATGCCTTCTAAATTCTTATGATATTTTTTGCTTAAGAGCAATGGAAAAGCACTGTTCCGATTGCTTTTTTCATCCACATAGTTTTTCTAAACTGGTACAATCTTTTCCAATTTCCAATTTCCCTCATAACAATAACAAAACGTACATTAACCTCAAACAGAGGTCTATCACGACTTCTCTCATTCTTTACTTGAATAAAAGATTGCACACCAACTACAACTTGAACATTGTAACAATAATGATATAGACAAGTCTTGTTTCCTCAAGACTCCAAATGTTAGACTCATAGTCTTTTTGTCAAAATTAGGCCATGTTGCAACTAAACTAATAACTTTCATAAAAATATCACTAGAAAAAAGTTTAAAAAATGGATAAAATACAGTTGGGTTTGAAGAATTTACACAGGGTAACAAACTGGTGTCATTGGTGAATGAAGATGATGCAAAGTTTATTGGTCTGGCTTCATTAGTGATTTTAGAAAATGATGTACCTGATGATAAACATGATTGGTTTATTTTCTTTCCAGAAGAAGAAATCAGATTAGGAGAAATCTAAACTGGTTATTCTTATTTTTTTTTTTTTTTGTGTTGGTTAACTTTGAATGTCATTGATGTCTAAATGTCATTAATGTCTCTTTAGAAAATGGTTTTGAGTGGCCAGACTTTTTTTGTAACATAGTTCTACTCTTTTTTCATTATTCATTATTATTACAACTATAAAGAATGATAATAAAAAAATAACAAAAAAGTGTAACTAAGCTCCATTTTTTTTCATTGTTGTAGTTTATTAATAATGAACATTATAATTAAATAACTTTAACAAAAAAAGAAAATAATAATAAATAAAAACCATTTAAGTTAACTATAACAAAATTAAAACGATAAAATAAGATAAAAAACCGTCTAACGAAATCAAATAAACGATGATTAAAAACACAAACAAATATTGTTTCACTTGCAGTTAGCTACAAGTTAAACTTTTAAACAATTAAAATCTAATGTAACACATCTATTAAATTGGTTGCTTTTTTTTATGAAGTTTATATTAATGTAAAACATTTGAATGACTTTAAAGCAAACCAACCATAGGTTTCTACACATATTTTCAGAGGCTTTCAGTAAACCAAAATTGGTTGCTATGGACGTTGCTACGAAAGTTGAGTTTGGAGTTTAGAAGTGCTTTTTTTTAAATGGAAAGTTAGGAATTATTTAAATTTTTTTAAATAAAACAAATTACACGGGCGTTTTCTACATAGCTCAATTGACTTAAAAACATTCACTTTGAAATTTTCAATTTCAACTTTTTTTTAACCCAAATACCACCTTAAGTTAAACCCTGAAAATAAATCTCATTTAGGCATTACAAAATGTTGTTGTTCAGTAGATAGTTCTTGGCAGAAGTGGGGATTTTTTCCCTTAATGATTGTGTTGCAGCTCTAAACCATGGCAAGTGTATTGATGTTTATGTAATGACAAAGTATTCCAGGCTGTTTCAATTTTGGAATAAAAAAAAAAATGTCTGAAGAACACCAAAACTGGCTTTCCAAGCATAACTATCCAATTCACCATCAAAGTTCATCTAGTGCAGTGGAGTCAATTGGTGTTGTGGAGATTTTTCAGCGGTCAGTTTTAAAAAACAACAATAACTTCAATGAGTACCTTGGTAATGTAGACACATCCTCATACAAAGAAGTTTAGAATGTTTTTTTCTTTGTCTGGTTGCAGTAAGCTAACAGATAAAACAAATAAATGAATGCATAATCTTTATGGTTGTTAAATGCCTTCATGGATAAACCCACAATGCCAACGAAGGTTTCAACAATGTTGTATGGTCGAGTTGTCCGGAAAACACTTTTTTAACAAAAGATGTAATTACAATGTATGGAAAAACCCACAATGCCAACGAAGGTTTTAACAATGTTGTATGGTCGAGTTGTCCGGAAATCACTTTTGTAACAAAAGATGTATTAGAGATTAGTATCAACTCTGCCATAATTTATTTTAATAACGGAATAAATGGAGTAAACAATGTAGTAACATAGTTTGAAATTAATGGATGCAAATTTTAACAAAAATATTACTTAATAAGTTTCGATGGTCTGTAAATAAGAGTAACGAGAAGACTTTAACAATTAAGAACCAAGAAAAAAGGTCTTTGAGACCAATAAAGATTAAGTTGATGTAATTGTTTTTTTTTTTGTTTTTTTTTTTTTTTTTTTGTTTATGCGACACAATGATCGCAAAAAGTGACCAACGGAGCCGTCCAGTTTCGTAGACCTGAGAGATGTGATAATAAAAACAGTTAGAAGATGGTGTCATTGAATTAAAAAAAAAAAATCATAAGAAAATACAAAATGAGTGATAAGACTTTTGTGAAGGTAAAGAACGAAGTAAATGCTCGGAGGGCAAGGAGAGAATAACTAACACTCTAATCACTCTGTATGTAGATTATATGTAACAAAGAACAAATATTTGATATACTGATTTTGAAGACTGTTGATGTCTACAGGTGTGATGGTGTAGTGCATTAGTACGTACCGTTTGTCGTCTAGTATGGTCTCGTTATGTTTCCGTTCACTTTCAAATCGGGTGAATAGAAAGCTAAACACACTCACTTCTTGCGCTTATGGGCTAGCACATCAGAGCCAGACGTAAGACCTACAGAATGGATTTCAATTGATCGAATGCACACATTAGTCACCGTAGGCCACAAGATTGAATTAAACTAAAATCACTAAAAACATCCATCATAAGTTATTTAATCTCATTTTATTTATCTTGATCAATTTAATCTTTTCATTTTGCTTTAATTTGTTTCCAATATGCTTTAATTTATCACTTGATTTTTTTGCTATATTTTTGATTTCTTTTTGATTGCAAAACGTTATATAA